CTAGTCTGTCTTCTGGCGGCCATCATTCTTACCACCATATTCAAGATAGCCAATTAAAGCACCACTTTAAACCTCATCAAAACGCATATTCTGCATTTACGATTGAGCAGACGAGGCTTGCTGTCTCACTAGCCTCACAATGGTTACAATAATGATATATAAGTTGTTGTTGTAGTCTCGAGAAGCCACGCACATACGATACAAGAAAGATAGCCCGATCTGATGATGTTCATGATACGACGGACGAAAGCTGAAACCGAGAAAATGGCCACCGGGTCAATCTCAGCAAGTATGTGATTGGTCTTTGAACCACTTCATAATGCACATTCATTCGATATGGAAATGAGCTCAGCAAACTCAACCTAGGCATCTTCGAGAGTCAACTTGTCTTTGCATAAAAACTGGTTTTCGCTGAAGCAAGAAAAACAGAGTCTTGTAGATGCGGACGTAACGACAAAGTCGTTTGTCCGCTTTACCAAGACTCGAAATCCCAACTCGCATAGGCATTCTTCGCTGTAGTCATCCCAGTTTTTCGCACATTGTCGCGTTTCATAGTGCACGGATGCCCATCGAGTCTCGACACTTCAGGCCAAAACTTGAGCCAATTCTGCGTTCCGATCAGTTGACTCTGCTGTCCCACGTACAGCTGCCATGACGACGACATGAGGCACCTCCGTCAAGACAATTAAAGTCACAAAACTACTAAATCCGTCGCGAAAGGGGTCGGTTCCAGGACCTTCTAGAAGTGGACATTGGCACGCGAATGCATTTCTTTGCTGTCCTAGTGCCCAGATTTGGAATCCTTTTTGCTCAATCCTCCGAGCCGTCCTTCGGCCACAGACATACACGGATCCGTTGACCCATACTCAGTTTGCCACCCAATTGCCTTGACTTTCACAGTCCTCTCCCGCTTCTGGAGTATACGAGGACCGGTTTCCTCGAGGAATTTTAAGTCAGCTGGTTTGATTCCCAATTGCCCCATTCCGATGCAATGTCTCATGCATATAAGCAAGAGGGCGAGGGGGCACAATAAAAGTCGGTGCTGTGAGATCGCGGTTTCCTCTGCAGGCTTGAGTGGACTCGTACGTCCGCTTGTACCATTTCCTATCAACCCAAATTATGCTATCTCTTTCCATTTTTCACTGCCTATGTCGACTCTTTAAATTGATAGGGATTTATTTGTGATGTAATGGCTTCATATTTTTCATACAAAAAAATTCTATTTTTTCATGTTTCCCTCATTCACCTGTTCATATTTGATGAGTCGACTTTCTTCCCTTTTTCATTCCAATTTTGTCTTAGGCCTCAGCTTCACTTTGACGCATCCATTTTTATTGCCAACCTGAGCTACATCTTCCATATTATTTTTTTTACATCCACTTCTTGTCGCTAATATTGCCAGACTGTAGATGAACTGAACCTGTGCCGCAGACTCTGTTGGCAAGTGTGACCCTCAAGCCGACCGCCAAGGTTGCCTGCTCGGACAGATAGCTTTGGTCTGGCCACAGTCCGCCCATGAGACGAATCGCCTCACAAGAAGCTGCATAGCCCGGCCCTGTTTAACTCGGCCACAAAGACATCAAAACACCAACATAAAACGGTGCTCCATTAGAGACAGCGGTCACAGGGTTACACTTTGACTACGGCAAGAATGCCCGTTTGGACGTTGAAGTAGTGAACATTTAACCTGCTTTATGCCAAACAGTGTCACCTTGGGTCGAGCCACGGTAATTTCATGTCATACACTTACGTAAATGGGTTCGCATAAATAACATGAGACCAAGAGAGAAAGCATAAAGTTATTGTGCACTTTTATTTTACATGCAAAATGCGGCCATAAAGAAAACAGGCAATAAACAACTAGTGTGCAAAAGCAAAATGAAAAAACGAACCAGAGCGAAGAAACATTGTTATATCCGGTATCGTATAAACTAAAAATAAAATCTTCCAAATATAACATATCCGACATCTTTGTTCTTAGGTCCTCGTTTTTGACATTCCCTAAAGTGTCGCCCGCATGTGGAGTTGGATGAAATAATAGAAGATCAGTAGCAAAGAGATGCTGTAGAATGCAAAGCTTGCTAGTATACTCTGTTTGACCGTTCAGTCGGAAGGTAATGCATAGTCAAAGAACGAGGCCCTAAATATACTAATGAGAGATTCGGCAGTAGAAAACGTGAGAAAATTGCACAATTGTGGCTATAAATTTACAATGGAGGCAGCAAGGCCAGCCAATAGATCACTCAGATTGGGGCTATAAACTGTGCTACTGCATCCTACTTACTGCAGCACAGACGAAATTTACAAGAAAAACTTGCCAAAGCACAGATAATTACACATTTACAATAGAATTCAAATGGAAGAGCCTCTCAGCCGAGGCAGATCAGCCTCAGTAACAACTTCTAAGCTGAGATTGAGTGTCTTCAACACAAACCAAAATATCTTTCATGTAAAAAAATGGAAGAAGTGTGGGCTTGCTTGCAGAAGCTGTTTACTCTGTACACATTTGGAAGACTTGTCGGTGAAAAGGGATTTATGGTAGGCAATGTGGCTTTCTTTTCTGAAGAAGACCACGAGTAGAAAGCATGAAAACTAATGCACGAAACTTAGTGAAAAGCCTAATTCTTAAAACGACAGTTATCCGTAAAGATAAAAGCATACTTACAAAAATGGTGACACATCAGCATAATTGCATGTTCGTATGCAGAATTGTATGCGCATGTCATCATCATATAAAATCCGAAATCACGGGAAGCATTCAGGCAATACACATATCCGCTTATATGTTTGCATGCATATGCGTGCCTTTTCAGAGATGAACAGCAAATAGGCATGGCTTTATTGAACCAATTGCCAAGGAAGCTCAAAGATGTACGCAAACGTCTTCCTCAAAGCTCATATCGCGGTGATGTTGCAAAAATATTACTGATTCACTCCAGGATATTCACTTGTTGGAAGAAGCTGCTTAGACGTAATTGTTTTATTAATGTGAACGACCAAAGGTAAACCATCAAAATGGGGTTTGACAAAGAAAGTCGCAGCCTATTGCAGGAATGGTCATAAAATGAGTTGTATTGACCCCAGTTGGGCCAACTGACGGTAGATAACGATATATGCTCAGAATAGACAAAGGCTGCGAAGGTGGATATATGGTTGTGGAGGGGGGCGGGTATGTAGAAAGTTGAAGACATAGGAATCCCACAAGTTCAACCTACATTCATAGATCATCCATCGTCATGCTGATGTTAACTGGGATATTAGAGCATGAGGATCCCTGAAAAGCCGGGAATACAGGCAAAAATGTTTTTTTGTCTGCTAGCGGGTCTCATAATGAAACGGCTTGAATGTGACTTGGTTCCCATAAACTTGGGTCTAATTGAAGTGAAGAAATTGGCGGAAGGAAAGAGAAAAAGAGTGAAGCAGACGCAAAATAGCTGATCAAGCTTCGGCAAGAGCAACAACTACATTTTACTTCAGCCACACTCTGATTCCAGCAATACTCTTAAGCTAATGCTGAGACTCCCCGGATGACTGGGAAAACGGTGGTGGCGGAGGCCGTGATGGCAATGGTTTTTCCTTTACCGAGTCTTGCATCAGTTGCTGCTGCGTAGTTGCACTCCGAGTCTGCGTTGGCGTCGAGGTGAAGACTCCATCATAGAACGTGGAAGCTACCGAAGCCCTCGTGGTCACAACTGCTGGCGTGGAAGTGGAGGAAGCGAGTATTGTCGCCGATGTTGGTATTAGCGACAATGGTGGCGCCAATCGGTCACTGGGCAGGCACTTGCTGGAGATGGTGGCAGTACAGCCAGAATTAAGTGGTTGGGCCAGACCTAAAAGGTAAGGAAGTAAGATAGTAAAACCAGTTTATCACCATTGTCTTATTTGTATCCTGGATCCAATTAAAAAGCGTACTTTCATATTTATTATGAGTATGTTAAAAAGAATACTAAAAGCTTCTCAACGTAGACAAATCAAGCCTCGACCAGCTTACATTTTATAGCATTATCGTCGATAAAGCTAATATGCATTTGCCATTATAGTCGACTATGTTACTTATTTATATATAAGTAGGGTTCTAAACTATCAGCAATTCTTTAATAAGAACATATTTAATTGAAGGTATGAAGACCAAGATGGTGTGGCGTTTTGTGTGGTCGCAGTCTCCTTTCGTTGCATAGAGGTTGTTTGACCTTATTTTAGCAAATTGGTCATATTGGTAGGAAGACATAGAGGAACGCACCTAGTTCGGAGTCCATTGTATGCATGATCATTTCCACAGTA